ACAGGCCAGAGGTGCAGGGGCAGCGAGAAGATTCACCAGAGACAGAGTGGGGAGCAGAACAGGCTGACTGACAAGTACACTGGTGAGGGGAGCAGTGGGCGGCCAGGAGAGGTCTGCTGCGCCATGTGGGTCACCTCCAGGGCCTGGACTGAACTTGCACTGAAGACGCCATGCCTTGGCTTAGCTTCACAGTGCAGCGCTCCAACCTGCCGCACCAGCAAGGAGGTCCAGTATATGCCATTTCCATGATGATGTTGATGATGAATGGAGAGGGGTGACTCCCCCCACCCCACCCCACCAGGTTTTGAAGCACTTCATTGATTTTCCCTGTGACTTGTGGTGTGGCATTCCTGGCTGGCAGTGTGCTGTGAACAAAGAAAACCATACTGGTGGTCTCTTTACAGGTGTGTGACTTGACAAGGGCTGGAAGCAAATAGTGCACCCGCCTAACCCTTTTAGCTAGACAAAGAATGATGTCCCCCTAAGTCCCCTCTTGCCCTCCCTTCCTCAGAAACTGCTCCAGGATGACAGCGCAAACATATCCTAATTAAATCTTGCCCTGGATTCAGACATCTTTTCCTCCACCCTTTTCTTGGGTTTGTAAGTGTAATGAAGAGGAAGAGCAAGAAACAAAATCAGTCAAGTATAAGATGCAGTTGGGAGTTAGGAGTTATTTAATGGCAAAATTAGAATTTCCACTCTGACCATTTAAACAGGGTGAGAGCTATGGTAAATCGAAGGAGGAATTAAGATACTTTTGGTGAAAAACTTGGTTGTAATTATAGGAGAACATTTCCTTGGACTTTCTGAGTTTCTTGAGTTTTCATCTTTTTGTCTCTAATAAGAGTGTTTCAATGTTTTCCAGTCAATTTTGAAAGTAATATACATAGGGTACCTAGTGCTACCGTGGGAAGACTGTGAACACATCCTTACAGTTAATATGCAAAATTTGGGGCTTTGTGGGTTTCTCTGAAAAGAGAGTTCCATTAGTCAATAGGGTACCATCAACTACCCTGCCCCCAAGGAGTTCAATACCTACCCTCTCCTCCAAAGGTTAAGAACCACTGGTATTAGAGAAGAATCTAGACAGAAATAAAATTTGGTAGGAAGGACATACTTGGAAGCCGAGAGGCACTTTCAAATAGATGGTACAAAGGTTAAAGTCCTATGAACTAGCAACAACAGCTTCAGCACAAGTTCGATCCCAAGCCAGGGAGTGACCCACGTGGTGCAGCAGACTTCTCCTGCCTTGCCTGCTGCTCCCCTCAGCAGTGTGCTTCATTAGCTGGTCTGTTCTGCTCCCCGCTCTGTCTCTGGTGGATCCTCCTACTGCTCCTGAACCTCTAGCCTGTACCCCAGTTCTGTATGCATAAATAAATACATCTTTAAAAAATTTGGAAGCTGAGAAGGTGGACCCCATAAAGGAGAAGAATGGGGGCCCAGGCTCCTCCATGGAAGGTTGGAGTGAGTTAGCATGCTCTGGAATCACACACAGCAGAGCTTAGATCATTTATTAGCTGTGCTGGTTGTATCCCATGGTCTGTTAGATCTTTAACCCTCAGTCTTCAGTTTTACCATCTACCAAGTGAGAGGACAGGACATACTTCAAAGAGTTGTTGCAAAGATTGAGATCATACATGTGTACGTGCCTCCTGCTCTAAGTGCGTGTATGCAGGCGTGTGTAGTCTCTTCCTCTACATGCACTTTGCATTTTCCCGTCCATCATACACCTCCTTCTAGGCCCATTCTCCTGTTCAGGCCTCAGTAGTCCCAATTATTGTGTTCTTTGGAAAAATGATCAGAGTAGGCATCTACTTGCCTAAATGCTCTCCTCCGTTTCTCTAGCGTTTGCTAGCTGGCCTGGCTGAGGGCAGCATACTTGCACTTTCCAAGCTGTGTAGGAAGCAGCGAAAATGAGGAGCCTGGAGCCCAGGGAGTGGCCAGCCTCCTTTGGGAAGGAAAGACAGAGTGGGCCCTGGGAGGGGAGAGCTGTCCTTTGCGAGCACCAGAGAGCAGCGCCTCAGGCTGCTGCCGTGGCCTACTTCCTTTTGTAATTTGCACAACAGACCAGAAGATGGGGCTCTTGACCCTGGAGTCAAGGGCCAGAGGCTCAGACTCTTCCTCTGCCAACTGAGGAAAAGCAGATTCACCAGCACTCCTAGGAACCGGCAGGTCCTCATTCCTGCCCCCACCCTGGGCTCTCTCAGCCTCTGCAATACTTTCTTTTAGGGGAGCAGGAGTGCTGGGCACATCTTCCCTCCCATTACCACTCTGGGCCCCTCCTGAATTACCTGGTTGCCAGAGTCAGGCTAATTGACTACCCCCCCCCCCCATCCGACCTCCCTCTGAACCGGTCTGCCCCAACGGCAGATTTTGGCAGGGGGTGGCTTATACTTGTGCTGGCCAACAACTCCAGGATTAGTTACATTCATCCTGACTCCTGTCAGGCAAGGCCCCCTTACCTCCTGGAGGTCCCCACCGAAAGGAGCTATGCCTGACCCCCAGACAGCAATTCTACCACAGAATCTTGTTGCTTACTTCCCAGCAACTATGCTATCCTGGACTTACCTGGTTTATTTGTGACCATTCCTCACATGTAAGACTCAGTTTGTCTTACTGCTATTTCTCCAACATGCAATTCAGAACTGAACACAAAGGTTTTCAGTAAACATGTTTTGCGTTAATAAGTGATCATATCTCAGTTTAATGACTGCTTGACTCGGAGACAACTGATAAACTTCTTTGATATCAGTTTTCTCACCAATGACATGAAGAAATAATGGAAATAGTCTAAATGTTAAATGATACACTATATCGGCACCAACAAGCCTGGGTTCCAGGACACTGAAGTACCGGAAACCTTCACCAATGCCCCACTGTCTAGCAGATGATAGGAAAAGATGATCTTCCTATGTTGAGTAAATAGTTCAGACTATAACCAGTGCTCCAGTGCTTCAAAATTTGGCCATAACTTTAGTTTGCCACAGTTTTTACTGTTTATTGTTCTCTATGAATTGCTTTGGTCCAAATCAAAGCTACCTTTTGAATGAACCACATACATCCATACTTTTACGTTTTTGCCCAAGAGTTGAGAAGCTTGCTTTTCTTATCTGGGCTCAACTATTTTTAGATTTTGCTCAAATCTAAGTCTTCTATGTCATGTTCTTAAAGAACTCAGACACAAAGGCCATTTCCTCTTCTGAATTTTTATAATCTTTTACTTATATGACTCTAATTGTTTGTCATAAGAAGCATTTAAACATAAAATCCATTTCCCTGCTAGATTGTAAGATCCTGGAAGATAAATCTTATGATTTAGATTTCTCTGCATCTTTAGAGATATTGGGGCCTGAAAATAGTGTTTTTGAAAGATGGAATTAAAAAAATACATATATTTGCTAGCTGCTTTCTATGGATCCAGCATTTGTTGAGGTTTTGTGAAATATACGAAAGGGCATAAGAAACATAATTATTGCCTTCAAAAATGTACATTGCAGTAAGCCAAAATCAGCATCTAATTAAAGTACTTAGGTCAATAACAACACATGGTAACTACTATATGAAACAAATACTATGAGGATTCAGAGGAAGGAGAAATAGCATCTCTTAGGGGTGTTGGGGAAAATAAAGATAGTCTATTGAAAGAGGTGGCTTTTGCTATTGACTTTGGAGGATGGTTAAGATTTTGATGGGCTAAAATGAGGGTGAACTCAAGATTCAAAGGATGGAATTAGTGAGGATACCAATAGACACTGTGTTGGTGAACATGAAAATTCAGAAACAAGAGCAGGAGGTTACACAAGAGATTGGAAATATGTATCTATTTCAGGGATATGGAAGCACAACCTTGTTTCAAATTTCAGGGCCAATGCTGAGGGTGGTAAGCAGGGCCTGAGACCTAGACATGTCCGGGACCAAGGTCTTTGGAGGCAGAATTATTTGCAATAGTTCGTTCCCCCTCAGTAATGTGGATTCACCTGCAGTCTGAGGTGACATAAACAAAAGGCACCTTTCTTCCTCTGGGGGGCAGAGGGACTGGCTGAAAAACATCCACCTTCCTTTTCTTTTCTATATATTTTTTAAAGATTTATTTATTTGTGCATACACAACTGGGGTACAGACCAGAGGCTCAGGGGTGGCGAGAGGCTTCACCAGAGACAGAGTGGGGAGCAGAACAGGCAGATCGAGGAAGTACACTGCTGAGGGGAGCAGCGGCAAGAGAGCAGAGGTCCGCTGCGCCACGTGTGTCACTTGGGGGCAGGATCGAATCTGTACCTGAGCGGCAGCAGCCAGCTTGCAGGGCTGCGTCTTCACCCACTGAGCTGCCAGGGTGGGCCTTCCTTTTCTTTTAAACCCAAATTAAACTGGATGCATTAATCAAGGTTTTCCAAACTTGTCTTAGATCAGTCACTCTTCTGTTGTTAAATAACAACCTTAGATCATTTCTTGGCGAAGTTGGAAGCGTTTTTGTGGAATTACTCCAGCAACCATCCTTGGCTCAACCCTACACCTTTCACAGCCAGACCGAAAGCCACGGAAAAGACCTAAATCCTAGTGGTTGTGCGGGGGAGGTAGGGGTGGGGGGCTAGACAGTTTGCTGCCTGCCTGCGTCTCTCTGCTGCTCTTCAATCCGGTCACTAGCTCAGGGATTAACAAGTGATTTTAGAAGGTCCTTTCTTCTCACCCCCAATGACTTCCTTCTCCAATTCCAGCAGACACTTCCCATGAGTTAACATTTTTACTTAAGAAATAAAATCGGAATAGCTAAAACCGCAGGTTCCCAGTTTTCAAGGGTCAGCCGTCGCCAATAGAAGCAAGATTTTCAGTTTCTAGCAAGCGGTTGGAAGGACCTTCGAGTCCAGAGGCCCGGGAGGGAGGGAGGCGGTTTCCACGGCAACCAAGCGCTCGCTGGCCCCCCCCCCTTCCCGGTAGCCCAGGGTACCGCCGGACAGCGTCCTCCCGTGCTCCGCGCGCTGATTGGCTGCCCAGGCCGCGCGCTGATTGGCTGCGGCGACGCCTCGCGGGCCGGTGGCTATGGAGGCGGCGGCGCCCGATGGTTGACCGTTGGCTCCGGGGTTGGGGTCGCGGCTCGGGCTGTTCGGGCGGACCCGACCGGAGCGCGCGGGCGGCAGACGCTCGGCCCAGAGCTCGCGGGGAGGCCTAGCGCGGCTGTGCCATGCGGGCGGGGAGCAGCGAGCCCGACGGCGTCCTCAGCTACCAGGTAGGGCCCCGCCTCCCGCCCCACCCGGGCTCAGCCTCCTCACCCGCTGCCCACCGCCTTCCCCGGCCCCCGAGCCGGGCGCCGCGCGCCGCCCCGGGGCCCCGGCAGCCAGCCCCGGACGCCAGGGGGCGCTTCGGGCGCTCGGGGATGCGCCGGGGCCGGGAGGGGTTGACCTTGGGCCGAGCCCGGAGCCGGCCGGTCGCTGCCGCATCCCCTGCGTAGCTGGGGCGCTCTGGCGGCCGCGGGCGGTGACCTCCGGTCTCTGGGCCCTCCCTGTGGGGGAGGCCGGTCCCCGGCCTCGCTGTGTCTTGCTGGGTGTGGGAGGGAGGTGGCCAGGGGCCCTGCCCTGGCGAGGCAGCTTTCCTCTTTGTGCTTGTATTTCTGGGGGTTTCTGGTGCTTCAGTGGCTCAGAGCAAGAGCTGGAAGTCTGGAGGCTGGGACCAAACCCCGATAGTGTGGTCAGCTTTAGGGCCCTATCTGCATCATTGCACAGACGTCAGACAGTCCTGGGCAGGGAGGTGGAAATGGACTCAGGAAGGGTTTGAGGGGTCAGGAACAGGTGTTTATTTAGGGCAGGGAGGAAGTAGGTTGCAGGGACACTCAGTTTCCGGGGTGGCTAACATAAGGACAAGCACTGGACCAGATGTCAGAGTTCTTAAGTTCAAGTCTGCTTCATGACCTTGAGTATGTCACTTGTGTCTTTGAACCTCAGTTTCCCTGTCTAGTAAAATGGGAGCAATATCGTCTGTGCTGCTTCCCTCACAGGGTTGTTTTGAGAACTAAGCAAGGGGGTATTTGTGAAAGGACTTCTGAAGGAATGTTTGTTGTGCTGTGACCAGTGAGTGGTAGCTGGTTAAATTCTCATTCCCCCTTCCCCATGCAGTCAGGAGGCAGAGTTACTGCTCTGCATTCCAGATCTTCTCACAGGGAGGTTGCACGGTTTTGGGGACAGTCTATATTGATGTCAAGAGTGATTTCTGTAAGGAGGCAGAGAAAACATCCCTGAGTTTGGACCAAAATGGATATTGACACTGATTTGCTTCTCTTTTTCTGGATAACGTTTGCTACCAGGAGACCCGCAGTTCCTCCTCTGCTTGCTCCATTAAGAAGGAACCATAGCTAAAGTCTTAGAAAATCTTTGTATGGCTCTTCCTCAGGCCTATAAGTGTATTCTGTCTACGGGTGGGATTTAATGAAGAAAAGAAACAGGCAATGTTTTTGCCTTCCTGAAGCTTCCCATTTAGTGTTGTTTGTAAATTACTATTTTAAATCAGGTGATCACACAGATAAATTGTTATTGTCAGCTGTGGTATGTGCTTCAAAAGAAAACTAGGCAGTACTATGAGTATGCATACCATGGATTAACTGGTCAGAGACTTTGCTGAAGAAGAAACTTTGGGTAAAGATAAAGAGTGTCAACTGAGAAAGGCGGGGAGCAAAGGGCCTTCAAGTCAAAGAGAATAGCATATGCAAAAGCCCTGTGGTAGAAGAGAGGTACATCTGGTTGTAAGACCTGACAACAGGCCACGTGACCAGACCAGAGAAAGCAGTGAGAGGAATTGTCTGAGGCTTACTGAGGGGGCCATGCTAATTTTGGGTGCCTTTGAAGTCCATGCTGAGGAAGTTGGTGTTTACTGAGGAACAGAGGGAAGCCACTGAAGAGAGGAAAGCAGAAGGAAAAAGGAAAGGAGTGGAGGACAGGGAGAGAGCCAATGAGATCATGATCAGATTTTCCTGTTGAAAAGATTTCTTTGGCTGCAAAGGGAGAACAGGCTGGAACAAACGTGAGGAGACAGGCCATTAGCATGCAGTGTGTGTACAGATCGTGTCGTCAAGCTCGTCATAACCCCTCGGCTTCTGTTAGTGCTTTGCAAAACTGATAATTCCTGAATGCTTTTGGGGTAGGATGGGAAATAATTCTCCTTCACATCTAGTTCCTGAAACTTTCATGGGAGGTGATGTGAGGAGAGAAAAGGGGATAAGTTAGGAACAGAAGGACCTCATAAAGGTGAAGGAGGACTGGAAATGGGACAATCTGGGGGAGACACAGCACAGAATTGAAAATCACCAGCTAAGTCTGCTGTGTGCCAGCTAGGTGGGTGAGGGGTGATGGGCCTTGCAAAGTGAGGAGATTGTGTAACATCATGTGAACAGGTTCCAGGCATTGAGGCAAATATTGTAAGTCTACGCTCTTTTCTCTCGTTTGGATATGCACTAGCTTCCTAAAGGTTTCCTTGTTATTCTTTTTCTCCTCTACAGTCCACATTCCAAATAGCAGCTGAGGGGGCTTTTTAAAATGCATGTCAGGGGCCTTCCCTGGTGGCACAGCGGGTTAAAGCACAGCACTAAGAAGCTAAAGCCACTTCCGCATGAGTTCGATTCTCGCTGGCCCCGGAGGTGACCACATGACGTGGCAGACCTCTCCTGACCTGCCCGCTGCTCCCCTCAGCAGTGTACTTTGTAAATCTGCCTGTTCTGCTCCCCACTCTGACTCTGGTGAAGCCTCTCACCACCCCTGCACCTCTGGCTTGTACCCCAGTTCTGTATGCATAAATAAAGCAATCTTAAAAAAATGAATACACAAAATGATGTAAAAATAAGCTATTATTTATTTATTTATTTAAAAAGATTTATTTATGCATACAGAACTGGGGTACAGGCCAGAGATGTGGAGGGTGAGAGGATTCACCAGAGACAGAGTGGGGAGCAGAACAGGCTGACTGACGAAGTACACTGCTGAGGGGAGCAGCGGGCGGGTCAGGAGGGGTCTGCCGTGCCATATGGCTCTCCTCTGGGTCAGGCAGGGATTGAACTCATGCGGAAGTGGCTTAAGCTTTTTAGTGCTGTTTTAACCTGCTGCCCCACCAGGGAGGGCCCAATATTATTTATTTAAAAAAAAAAATGCATGTCAGATCATGCCTGTTGTATCTGGAAACTCCTCGGTGGTCTCCCAGTGCATTTTAGAATAAAATCCAAACTCTCGTCATGGCCCCCAGGTTCCATGTGACCAGGCCTCGCCCAGCCTCCTTACTGCTGCTCTCCACTCGTGCCACCACGCGGCACTGGATTTCATCCTTTCTTTAACATGGCACACCCCTTCATGCGTCACGACCCGTGTCCCCTCTGCCTAGGACATTCTTCTAACCCACATCTCCTCATAACTCATTCCAGATGCCACCTCCTCAGAGTGCCTTTCCATGACTTCCACACCCCGTAACTCACTCTCACGCAATCCTGGTTTACTTTTTTTCTTAATACCACATATGACTTAACTGAAGTGTTCTCTTTTTGATTTATTTTCTTTTCAAATAGAAGTGTCATGAGGCCGTAGAGCACAGTGCTTGGTATGCAGTCGGTGCTCAATGGCATGACTCAATGAGTGGTGCTCTGGTAGCCAAAGCCAGCGTGCGCTCTGAGGAGCTCGTGGTCTCGTCAGGTTAGCGCAGGCCACACAGACGCTCTCCCCCAGTGTTGCTGTGCCTGGCTTGGTGTTCCAGCTGGATGGTATCTCCCTCATGCTTCGGGACCCTCGACATGTGGCACACGTGGTACCTGAAAACATTTGTTTTACCTCCACAGACCAGCTTCCTATCGCTCAGGAAGAAGTCAGCACTTAGTGTTCTGTGGTCAGATCACCTCCCACCTGCTATTTCTTCTCCTACTCATATTTCTGGAATGTTCATCTCTGCTGCTAAACATGCTTTGTTGTTGTTTCTTAGGTAAATTAAATTTTGTTGCATGCTTGGTATGTGCCAGGCGCTTTTATGCATCATCTCCTTTATTTCTCTAAATAACGTTGAAAGTTCCTGCTCGTATGATTCCTGTTTTCCAAATAAGGAATCCCAGATATGGAGACGTTAAGAAATGTCTAAGAAGTCTGATCGCACTGCTTTACTGTAGTTCGTCTTAGACACTTAGATCAGCGCCTGACTTGGAGAGAGCGCTTGATGGTGTTGGATTTCAATGACCTCTCTGAATGGCTATTGAAATTTTAGTAGTTGAACTCGTAAAGGGGGTAGCACTGGAGGGAAAGATCACAAACGTTGGGGCGAGCCCCTAGTTTGCAGTGGAGCTGGAACATGCAGGAAGACACACTAGAGGAGAAGCGGAAACAGTGAGAACTTGAGCCAGGTGGTGCTGGGAGCTGCAGGGAGGTTGCAGGGAGGGTGGAAGTGGCAGGGAGGGGAAGTGAGTGAATTTGGGCAATTACCAGGATTTATGCAAACCAGCTGTGCTAAGGGGGGAGTTGGCAGGATCTTCAGCATGACAGACCCTGGGAAGTGGGTGATAATTGGGAGGAAAGTCACACTCCATGTCTTCTGGGGGACCTGAAGTACTTCAAGACTAGGGTTCCTAAAAGATACCAGGCTGCTAGTACCCAGGGACCGCGGCACGTGTTGGTGCTCAGCAAGTATTTTCTGCAAGGGTGTGGGAGGCTCTGCAGGTGACTGATCAGGGGCAGTGGTCTGTTTTATGTGGAGCAGTGAGCAACTGTTCGCTGAAGGTTTTTGCACAGCAGTATCGCCCACAGCTGGTTCCCCTCTCACTACGCTGCGGTGTGCAACCCATGCCCCTTCACTCTTCCCAGGGCACGCTCGCGAGGTGTCCTTCCCTGGCCACGCTCCCTGTGGCCTTCTCACTTCCTGGCTAGACCAGCTCTAGTGGGAGCTTCAGCAGGAGAGGCACGGGCTGAGCCTGGAGGCACTCCGGGGAAGGATTCAGGCTGCACGTTTAATTCCTTCAAAATGTGTAAATTGACACCTGTGTCATGTTATGCTGCAGTGTTACTTCAAAGGTTTTCTTTTCTCTAGCTGTCACAGCTCGTGGTTTTCCTGGGTAGGGCAGGCAGGGCCCGCAGTCAGTCCTGTCACTTTAGTAATCAGGGCACAGACTAGCAACTGTGTTTGCTCTAAAAGTGCTGCTAGGTAACTGCAGACTATCTGAGATAATGGAAAGGGTTGTTGTTCCTGCAAGGAAGTAACAAGTTTACCTTGGTCTTG